AATTCCGTTTATCAAGCACAATAGCCAGGAGTCAAAAGGAACGATAGAAACATGAAAATAAACAGTTCGCCTGAATAAAGGCAAACGACTTGGTCATGACACAACCTCAGCAAAGAAGGCAGCGATGAAACTGAATGTGTTGAAAAAAAGACTGGTTTCTCATAATTTGCCAGACTGACGCTAAGTTCAGCGCCTATACACTCAACGGTAAGCTTCGAAACACTAGTTACACCTGATGAAATTGAACCTACTTGCCAAACTAATTCGTAAAGCCCACACCACTGTGCTAGGCGAGGATGAACTTCTGCAATATTTACAATCAAGTGTCTGAAAAACAATGCTATTATAATGCTAAATCGGATACTAGTTAAAAAGTCATGTAAAATGAAGACACTGCACAGCAATCGTGATCATGCAGTAAACAACTACAACAAACAAAAAGCCTTGGCATTTACTAACTGAGTATAAATATAAATATTCTACATCAAAAAACAAACTAGTACTAACCAACCCACGCCGACAATGCAGACGCACCACAAAAGCAAACTACTTGTTATAACCGCGTTACAGAGTCTAAGAACTGGCAAGACAATTACTTGCGGATCTTTGTACACCAGAGGACGAATGTGGAGGACCTTTGAAGTGAAAGCACTTTGTTAAGCTGTTCCGCCGACCGGCCAGAATGAAGAGGTCTTATATTCTCCTTTGATAAATCCCACTCAAAATCAATTTTTGTGGGTGAAGTCATCCTAAAGCTTGTTGTGAACGCCAAACAAAACCGACCATACGGAATAGATTAGACCACACGAAACAAAGCAACCACGCACGAAATTCAATCGTTTCACCTTTCAATCATCCACACAAACAACCTTCGTTCCGAAACCCGTTCCAAAAACATTTATCCGATTGTAGGCAATAGTCAAGTTATTTAGCGATAATTAGGAATTTTTCAGCTTACATTTAGTTTATTATTTAATGTGCGACAACAACAATTAATTAATACCAAGCACTTTTCCAAAGCTTCAATCATTCTGCGGGTAATGCCTAGTGTCTAGCTCAATGTTAACACTTAGCGCAATGATTTCTGCATTAAATGTACTAGGTGGGAAACAAAATTTTGGCTTTGTAGTTTCCGTTTGGCTTTTAAGATTAGAATCGAATTGTTTCTTTGTGCGACTATCGATTTTATTTGTAATCATTAAGATAGCATTATTGTCTTGCTCAGACTGGTACCAAAATCCCCTATTCTCTTCCTTTCCGC